ACGACTCCCTATGTGTTTCACACAACGATGCCGTACTCTGAGTGGAATACGTGCCGCATCCCAAAGAAGGGATTGATCAAGGGCAAAGGCTGTATCCTTTATATCATAAGCGTTTCTTTCTTTCCCATGGTGGAACAATAGATATTGATCCCTTATTGATCGGTTCACTTTTAGCTGAGCTCGGGCTACGAGTACGGTAAACTGTCGCCGATGTCATCGTACGCGACATCCGATCTAGGCTCAAGTCCTCGATCGTCGATCAGCGTCACGTCGGCTAATTTAGCCCCTTGGATGGTTTTTCGTGAAACTCATAAGAGCAGGTTTGTACCTTTGGTTTTCAATGATTCGAAAAAGTGATTTCAACAAATGATTATTTCAGCTTTGATCTCGACGATGGTGCATCAGATGTGTGCAGTAAGGACCTACTGTCACCAGGGATGATGCTCTCACCGGCTCCATATTCGCCGTTTTCAGACTGCGAAGATACTGAGACACCTTACTCAGCGTATGCTCGGTCGCCCAACTTATCACCGAACCCTTTGACCAGAAGCTTCAATCACTTCAGGTAATTCTGGGTTCGAGTTAACTTTACCGTAACCTGATTCGACATCTGTTTTAAACCTTTCTAGGATCAAAACTTGTAGATACACCCACTTGAATCTGCTCTTAGCGCTCGTTTTGGGGTAAAAGTGCAAAATCCGTGATTAAATTCAGCTTCGATCAAGTGCGAAGCAGTAGTTCGATGTCCGGACGTCATAACCTCATGGTCCCGGAATCGCATACGTTGGATTCGGAATCACGGTGAGGACATTCTTGTATTTGTTGCTTATTATGGAACCAAAAACATCCAAGGAATTCCGCCGCTGCGACTCGGCGGTTCAAAATCATGGAGGTACAGTTTGACACTGCCACCCGGGTGGTCAACTGGTTTCCGCGTCTTGCCACAGATCAGATCTCCTGACACATACTTGAAGTCTGTCGCTCACTTTGACACGCAATAACATAGAAAAATATGAACTCTGTTTTTTGTCAAGGGTTGTAATGAGTTTTACAGAGTATAGATTGTAAATTTAGTCACTTTACAACTGCCTGCAGGCAGAAGGCGTCTTGGCGTCGAGCCAAATTTAGAAACACCCCTGATTCACGTCTGGCGAACGGAGCTCTTCGTATCTTTTAGTAGATAAGAACTTGATTCAAAGGGGTTATGGCACAAGACAGTCGTGGTATCCCGCGCTAGAGAGGTACAGCGAGCGACTCGTGCGCTGAGGCTGTTGCCTCCCGGCTGTTCGGATATTTTTTATAACGATAGGAAAAGATCGATATTACTCGCGCAAATAGGCGTCATGTCTTCTCCTAAAATTATGATATTCCACTGCTCCATTCGAACACTGGTGCAGTCGAAACTTGCCGCGTTGCCGCACGATGTGCCGCACGCGAAGTCGCGGCCAACTACGATTGTGTTATCCGCCTCCCTGCCGAGCTGGAGCCTGAAATCGGGTATTTCCATGGCCGCCTTGAGTTCCTCCCATTCCGCGCTACGGCTGCTGGCGTTTTCAGAGAAAAGCAAGAAATCATTGTTACCCGTGGCTTATGAAGCTCATTACACCGTCCATGAAATGACAGAGGCCCAATAGGCTGCTAGTTCGCTGCGGCACGGTTGGCGTGTCAGGCATGTATGGGTGTGCCGCCCCCATCGAGCTTTTCCTGCTTTCTTGTTGAAATGCGCATGTGACAAAAAATGCGTAGAAAACCGAGCAATACTAACGATATGATACGGTTTGTTATCAATTGCTTCGCATTTAACAACCGGTGGAACGACGGGTTTGGCACCGTGCCAACTCATCCCGCCTGACACGCCCAACCGTCCGCAGCGAACTACACTATAGAGAAATACTTGATTTTTCGACATGTACACCTGTAATGACCTTATGTGAAGGGCTACGGGATTGGGAGGTACTGCGGGATGTGTACGGCAAGATCCAGCCGCGCGACCTGACGCGACCAAACTGTGCGCGATTTGCATAAGTTATAAGCGTAGCCTCTCATGGCGTGGATGAACCTCCCATAGTCTGGAGCGTGAAAGCTACTAGCTTGCTACAAAGTATCAAAAGCTTTACTTGGCATCTATTTGATTCATCAGAGAATGGCTCACATTATGCCACCTGTCGGAATGGGTGGGGGGGCGAGGTTGGACATTTCCTTGATTCACTAGTTTCCTACTTGTTCCTGTTAACTTACACGTCTCACCATGGTGAGACCTGAAGACTCTTGTCAAGTAACCAAACTCTTGCAGTTGCTTAGCTTTACAAGAGTTGACAGGTCTTCACAGGATCGCCGACAATGGCCGATTGGAACCAGTAGCTCCCCACCTGCTCAAACTTTCGTCCAGAACTGGATTTTGTGAATTTCAGTGCAACGAAGACCGATCAGATAGCGACATGCCCACAAAGGTTAGGAAGTATTTGGACACATCGATGCAGTCGCGATCTCAGCTACGTAAAGTTGGGGTTTCATAAGGTAATATCAAGCAGAGTTCAATCATTTAGGTACCAGCTGCCACAACACGACGGCTCTCCTCCACTGGGCAATACAAGAAGAGATTATTGCAAAAGTACCAGGAGGAGCAGGAGGAACGACAAGCGTCCAAACAACGTAGCAGTAGTAGTCCACCGCCGAGCACCACCGTACGTTCGTCTGAACAGCGTGACTCAATGGTTTCTTTTTTGTTCGATTTTTATTAATTTTTTCGTTTGGTTACATTTTGTTACCTGATCGATTGGTTTTATCGAGGGGTCATAGTGAACAACCTCTCCTAGGACTTTATCTCGCTGTCTCTGTAAACCTTGAAAACAGATTCCGCGATAACCTGATGGGCGGAGACTTACCATTTCCGTGCCTTCGTCACTGGTGCGCTCTGCTCCTCTGCTTTCAATACGGTAAAAACGAGAGCGAGCTTGAAGGGAAGGCACAATGGTTGTGAGTTCCCGCCCATTCCACCACAGACTGGGTCCCTGACTGGACGAGTTTCTTTTGTTAAAGAGTAATGTGATGTCTTGGCACTTTCTTAGCTGCTTACGTCAGCGTTCAGACTTCGCGACAGCAGCGCTTCGGTTGCGCGTTCGAGGCGATCGATGCGCATGCTTTCAACTGCATCGATCGCGTAGAGCACGTGACCGAAGCGCTGTCGTCTCGAAAGTCTGAACGCTGCCTACGGAAGAGTGTTAGGAGGAGACAGCCACGTAGATAATGACTTCACAATGGTCCCTTGATAACAATGAGTGTCACTGGCTAATAGTGGCATCTTCAGGAGTCCGAAATTGATGACTCCGATCTGCGTAGCATCAGCCGACTCACTTCACGGCAACCGACAATTGAAGAACCTCCCCCATCGCCTCCTCATGAACTAACCAGAGAAAATGTAAGATTTTACTGCATTCCCATTGGAGATTGAACCTTATTCTGGGTTACCTGTCGGTGGCAAAATCTTCGACTGCTAACGTGTCGCGCCTAATTAGGGACAATACTCTTCTGTTCTTGTCGAAGCAGTCAGCCGCTTCGCGACCGCTACGCACCACTGTACGTCTTGTCAATTTGCCACACTCGAAAAGGCAGCTTGTTCTTCCGGTTCTCCCTGTTCTCTGCTTACAATAAATGTTTTAATGTGTTTTTTTTACAGCTGGAAAATGCCATTGCGACAAGCACCTTGTGTGCGACAGGATCAAATACAAATGTGGATGGAACGCCAGATTGTGGCCTTACAGGCTGTGAATATGTATAACAATGTAGTTGAACAATGGCCTACTTCAGGTGCGAACTTTTTCCACAATTCTGTACGATCCCTGTGAAACGGTAGGTTCTTAAGTCCACTCCTGTACTTCAGGTGCCGAATCCACAACTTCTCGCCCCTCCTACCGACATCTACTCGCAGCTCCTTGCTTGAGACAGAGCACGGTGGATGTTGCCGGCGGGCTCGGTGCAGGGCCTGTGAAAGGTGCTACGTTGTGGCGGCGAAGTCGTTCGGAATCTGATGTTAGCCGTAATCTCACCACCGGACCGTTTGTCTGCGCAACCTGTGGACAGGTGATCCTCACATACCTTTTTTGGACACCACGGTGTTTAGCCAGACTATGAAAAAACAGTGCAATTCGGCTTTGTGGGGACATTTTGCTGCTTCCGATCGGTCCCTCTCGTCTTCTTCTGTAGGAAAATGTAAGCTCTTGCGGAACTGTGCAGTAGCATGAAATTCGTTTGCACTTGACAGGGGTCTGCAAGTCTTACTCTGAGTGAAACGTGTTATAAGAACTAGCAAAAGAGGCTGGCAAAAGTGCAAAATGCCCCTCCTAAGCCGAACACCGACGTCAACATTCTCTAAAACCACCTTAAATTGGCACGAATTGGTCTGATTTCATCAAAAATTACCCGGAAATTTCTACAGGGCATTTGCCTCACATGCATCGCCTGGCCAAAAGCATATTTGCATTCACGAATCGGGTCGTGAGCTATTTAACCGTATTTCAATTCCGCGATCAATAATATCACTGCCAACCCAGATTCATGACATATCCCACGTTGATAAAATGGGCGGAGACAGGGCGTAGACTCACAACTATTGTGCCTTCCTCATTGGTGCGCTCGCTCCTTTTACTGTATTAAGGAGAGGCCTACCAACGAGCAAGGCACAATGATTGTGTGTGTGCCCACCTACTGAATAGTGCAGTTTCAGCTCGGCATCAGCACTCGCCGACGCAGATGGTTCAAAATCCCACAAGTGTACGGTATGTAACAAAAGTTTCGGAAGGAGCGATATGCTTACAAGGTTTGTTGCAGGAGGCTTTTTGGTTACTTTTGTATTTATTGTATTTTTCATCACATCTGCTCTCGTCTTAACAATTAGGTTTCCGCTATGATTGATTACCTGTACACTCAGCCATTATTCTTGCGAACAAGAGTGATTGTGAGGGGGCGCATGGAATGGAAGCAACGGCGGCGCCTTTATCTACCAATTGGGCCTCTTGAGCCCCATAACGATTGGGTGGAAAAGTGACCTGGCTGATACTCCAATCCACGCACTCTCCACGCCCTATCATTCTGCAAGTGTATGGCTGTGCACATAGCTTCGTTATGCAAAGTTATGCCTTACTGGACATAACTCGAGGCCATGATTCCTTGTGTAACACACAACAGAGGTCGATCACATTCGACGCCTGGAGTGGTCATATTCTGCAATGAGAGGAATTCTTTCTGACTGGTAACTTTTCCCATGCTCATGTACTTCTTGAATACTCCATCTAACCCAACTCTCTTAGTGCCTTGCGCAGAGACTACATTTTGGTATGTAGGTGTCTACCCGCTCTGAAATTTTCGGAAAGCTAAGGCGAGGATGGCAAGGTAAGGTGAGACAAGGAGGGTCAATCTAGAGGCAGCAACATCTGGGGAAAGAGGTTCTTATTTCTGCAAAAGGTTTCCACAATGATACGGCTCTCGTATACGACCATCAACAAAATAGGAAACGAGGCGGGTTCAAGTGCTGGAAGCATCCCCTTGGTTGGAGCTTAAAGGCAGTTGGCACGATAAATCCCCAAGGCGACTAGGATCAATACTCCTGGCAGGATAGAATTCCGCGACCCTGGGCAGGCGCTGCATAGCGGTTTCCGAGGAAGGTGCCTATATAAGCCGTCCCTATCAAGCCACACTTTACGTCCAGACGCGCCGCCATGCCGCCGCCCACAAAATGGACGACGGTTTCCTAATCGCTCGTATTTCACTTCATTGTTGCTAGGCAAAATTTGAAGCAAAGGCATTGGTATTGGAATCGGCCGTTGATGCTGCATTGCATACATGGGTACACATATGCAGCCGTATCTTCGGTAGCGGTGATTGGTAAGATGCCTACGGGAAACTCGTCCGAAATCGATTTTCAAGTCACTGAGAACGGAGGCTTTTTCTTCGCAGGATTTTGACCGTTTCACTCCGTTCTTTCGCCATTTCCCCACTATACAGCGCCCTACTAGCATTATTAGGCTAAGTAGGAAACCATCGTGCCAACTGCCTTTAACGTGTCCTTCATCGATTCGCCTCATTGAAGTTCTGGGTCTCCGGCCTGTCTCATCTTCATGTTCTGTCTAGAACATCATCTATACCTTAGTGACCATTTTTGTTCAATTTTGCAGTTCATCATTAGTTTAGGAGCTGTTATGTCGATAACGGGGGACGGTATCAGGAATGAGTTAGAATGAGCCATTCGCGGCAGCGTTTTCTGAACCAATTATGGACCAGTTTCAGGGAGAAAACTACCAAAAGTGTGAATGCCGCTGGTGGGGTTTGCCCAACTTCTGACATCGCCTTGCGGATCTATATTCGAATGAAATCAAGATCTCTTAGTCGTTAAGCCTTAGATACTGATCGATTACTTTAGGAGAATCATTTCTTCATTGGAGTTTATCATATTATGGCTTACATAATAATCAAAAAAATTTATGACCTTTTAGGCATATGCGCTCCATACCGGTTTGAAGCCCTACAGCTGTCAATTGTGCGGTCAGGTGTTTTCTAGATCGGATCATCTTAGCACCCATCAGCGAACACACACCGGAGAAAAACCCTATCAGTGCCCTTTATGTCAATATGCAGCGGTGAGTGAATTAGCACAATGGTCATCTTTGCTTTGCTTCTTGTGGTGTCAGAATAAAGTCTAGTAGGTGAGGACAACCCGCCCGAGCCGCTGAGTACTGTCGGTTTTAGCTTGCCGCATACCAATAGATCACATATCGGCATTCCATTACATGTGTCCTTGGTTATGCCAGCTAAGTCATGCTCCGGGGATCGGTCTGTTGATGCAACTTATTTGGAAGCCCCAAATTTTATTCCTGCACCAGTTGCCCACATAATCCATTGTGTAGACCAAAATCCTTCCACACTTTGTAAAAGTCGAGTGCGTGGCGCATCTGCTATGATTTATTCGATGGCAAGTGTTACACCCTTTTGCATTCAAATGCAGTCGATCTTGGATTGAGGGCACATTCCACGCTTACTATGGGCGGACATCCTGAATACATTGCGCTTTTCTTTAATTTGGTGCAATCTTGCCTATGTGAAATATTGGGCCGTAGTATCCACCAATATGGAGGGCGCAGAAATCCTTATCTCAGCTCATTATGAACCACTTGGAATGTGCCCTGAAGCTGCAGGGTTGTGAAAGCAGAATGCTCTTTCACGTATCTGCCTACAAACAAAGACACGCAACACTCCACACGACCAACCACACGCCTAGCCCTAGCCAGATGCGCTCCTTGTTTGCGCTCTCTTACGTTGGGGTGGGATGTCATATCTCGCACCTTCAACATCGGGGTACCTTTCGCACGCTGCTGGCCAACAGGTCTCATGCGAGAGATCGAACAGTGGGCGGAGCCTAAGGAAGAAACGTCTAGTATTAAACCCAACCCACAACTTCATGTCACAATTCTAAGTGGCATAATTGGCACCCTCTATAATTGGCTCTCCCACCTCGCCTCTGGGAGTGATCAACCTACGCATGCAGCGCCTTTAAGTTCTGATTTCTTTGATGGGCTTCTGATTTCTTTGATGGGCTCTTCCTTAGTTCCACCAGATTTTTTCGTGATTTCACCAATTGCAGAGTCGTCGCGACATGATCACACGTCATTTACGTACACATGTCCGCCCAGATGGTAGCTCTATCGACATCTCCGTCCCCATCGCCCAACTCTCATTGACGCCATCAATATCGCCGGTACCCCCGAATTTCGGCTCTCTGTCACCAAACCCCAATAGTGACATTCAGAATTTGCTTTCGTGAATGGGTATGGAAATGCAGAAGGTTAGTGAATTATATGTATTTCAGTTTTCAGATAGATAGCTAAGGTATAGAGCTTGATGGGTGCACTGTATCAGTTCAGAGGCACAGTCCACACTTATCGTGCATTGGACTCAGGTCTACCCTTGTAGAAAGGAGTGCGCGCCCGAATGATGAAGTTCGCATCGGAAGATCTGACTCCGCCCACATGGCTAATGTGGATTGTGTATTTGAGCTGAGTGAGAGTAAAAAGAGGCGGAAAGATAGATATGGTTCAGGCGACGCACATAGGGCATTTCTTGGACAAAGAGTTTCTGATTCTGAGCCTCTTGGTTTTCTTTTTCAGTTACCGTCGTTATCATCAGGAGAAAAGTCAGCTTTTCTGCCGACGTCTGCACGCCTTCTCTCACCTCATCCTCTTTCGGCGACGTCACAAACGCCTACACTTTCGAGGCAGTCCAGCATGGGCGGATATTTGCCATCCTAATCATGCAAAAGGCGTGGAGATGAGCTCAATTACTCATCGATAAGCCCACGATTTGTGTTTCATGACGTTATACGTGTTGCCTTTGAGAGAAGCCTCGTGTGGGTTTCTCGTTACTGCTCATCCCCCTTAACTAGGGAACTTTCAAGAAGTATGGTACCGCATCAGAATTTGCTAGAGCTCTGCCCTAGCTTGCGCTTGTAGGTAGTACTCGAAGATGAAGTTTGGCGCGGAATTTATCTTCTGTAACAAGCAGCCCTGGAAGTTGAGACGAGTCTTACGAGTTAGGGGGTGACTCGAGGCACAGCGTCCATTGTGTAAAAAGCAATGGGGGTCGCACTTGGCCACTGGGGAAGAAGGGGCCCCCTATATTGCCACGAGAGAACTTTTTTCTAACAAAGAATGCTCCCTTTTCACGAGAGCTGTATACCAACCAGTGGCATAAGCTTGAAAAGGCACATGACGACATTGGGCCGCTCCCAATCTCATAGGGCTCTCTAAGGGCAAGATGGTTGGGAGAAGGGATCACTTTCTGGGTGGGAGTGCACCCAGCGCACATCACCGCGTTGTGCTAAATTCTCCTTCGAATTCCTCCATCGATGAAACTTCCTTTCGCAATCTACCCATGCTCTAACCATCCTATCCC